ATTACTAGTCATTGTTTCAACCACTAATTGGTGGTGCTTTCTGTATAGGAGAATGGCAAATTGGGATACTTTACGATAATGAGCATATTCGTGGTTCACCGTTTGCTTGTCATGTCTATGATGCAAATCTTGTTCAGGTAATTATTGTCAAACATTTTTTTTTTTGTCTTTTTTTAGTACACAGTTTACGGTACTGTGTATTTTTGCAGTAAATAAGTAATCTCACTGAGGATTAGCTTATAATAAATGGATTAGGCTAGCTTTGTTAATGGTGTAATGCAGTCGCTGTTTAGGTTTATGGTTTGGATGTCGGTTTAGTTGGACAGCAACTTAAATTTAGTGTCAATTCTTCACAGGCCGGTGAAGGTGCAGTTAAGGTAATTAACTTTTTACAGTTTTTTAAATTGCTTAAGAAGAAAACGGAGAATAGGATAAACTAGTTGGATATTAATTGTCCGCTTCTTTTACTTGGTTTTTTTTTTCGTTGAACAATGCCTAAATAGAGTATACATTTAAACGTTCCCTTCTTTTTCTGCTTTCTTAAACAGTATAAGAAAAATTTTCATCAGAAGTAAGAAGTGAGAAATAAATGAATAAAGTTCATTCATTGTTACAGTGCTACTTCATGATCAATTATTTTTTCTATTGACACTGTAGTTATCAGTGTTCCAAATATAGTAGCTTTAATTTAGTTTAAATGAAATAGTAGGATTTGTAATATTACTGGAGGAGCTGCAATCAGACAGTGGTTCAATTTTTGATCCAATATTTTTCTTTTCTGCTTTACTGTTTAAATTTACAGTGTAAAAATATTTCCACTAAAATTTTTTCTTTTTTATTCAATTTAGCAAGATCTTTTTTTTTTCTCTTATGTATTTTTTTGCCTTTCATGAAAATAGTTTGCTGATGAGTCAGTAGAAACGTTTTAAGGTATCAGTGGTTCGCCTTGGACGTACAATTCCATGTGAAGTAGTTGAACAGGCCAGTTCCGGTGTTCATCGTGTAAGCTTCACTCCAGATGGAGCTGGTCAATACAAAATCCATGTACTCTTCAATAACATTGAAGTAAAAGGTGTCGTTAATTTTCAGAATGTTCCAATTTTTTGTTTTTTTGCTTACAAAGAAGAAGCAATGTTTGGAGAAATTTTACGAAACACAATGAACATACAGCGCTTAGCTAACAGCAACTTTTTTCTTCTTTCACAACTTTACGGAAGAACAAATTTTGTAGGATCACCGTTTATACTGGATATTGCGGATGCAAGTTCAGTGTCTGTATTCGGTGAAAACCTTCGGATGGCATCTGTTGATCGTTTAAGTGTTTTTATGATTCATGCAGTTGGTGCTGAATGTAAAGATATTACTGTAACGGTCACAGGTTAGTTATTCTAAAGTTTTAACTTATTTATATGTTTTTTTTCGGGTTATTTGTCTACCGTTATTTCATCTGTACGAGTTGGCTTTATCTGGAAGACCGATCCGATGAAAAAAACCAAATAGATGCGGGGACAAGAAGATGTGGTGTCGTTTTTTGGATGCACAGTTTTTTTAAGTTGAACTCACAAGGTTGAAGCGGGTACAGTTATGGGATTTATGTCGTTGACATCTGAGGGGTTAGCCGGTGTTTATTTTAGTTGAAGCCAAATTGCACATTTGAAATTTCTGGTACATGCAGATTTTTTTTTTTTTTTAAATTTTTCGTCTTTTATGTTTTGTTTGTTTAATTTTTGACGTTTTTTTTTTGACTGTGTGGAATGTGTGAGCGTCTCCCAATGTCCATTCATAACCTTTTCTTTTCGTCCATTTTAATACTTTTATTTATTTTTTCTTTTTTGTTGTTTATTGTTGTTGTATTTTCAAATATTTGAATGTTAATTGGTAATTTCAGCTTGTTTTCGCTTAATTTATTCTTTTTAACGGCGATCCTTTTTGCTGCAGTAAGTGGGTTTTT